TATCTTTTACCTTATCAAGATAAATGGGAAGTAAATCATTTGAGCCGTTATCCGATGAGATAAATAATTAAATCGTCAAGTCAAATCTTTTGAAATTGAATATCATTAGAAATAATCCGTTAACTATTTTAGGTCGTTTAATTAATGTGGTATAACAAACAAATTATTAAATTACATCAATCGCAAGAACTTTTTAAAATCCAAAAATGTGTACCATATCTGGTAGACTTTTATTACTTTTAACATTTAGCTGATATGATAGGTAATAAATTAAATTATATTTTTTTTTTTTATGTAAATGAAAAATTGTTGATTTTTTAGTATTTATCATTATCTAGGTAATTATTATAGTTATCAATTATATTTTATCTTTATGTAAATATTTTAAAACGTATCTTTATATATCGCCGTATAAGTTTTGACTTTGCGTAAGATTCGAACAGTTCATATTATATTATTTTATTGTTATATATTACAGTTATTACGATCGGAGGGTAAATAATCGAGCTAGCCTGGTAAAAGATTCATTTTAAATGCGTCCCGGGCATAAATGCGTACATATTATTCATAGTGCACACGACGAATGTCTCGGTTTGATACAAAAACTAAACAATTATTACCGAATTCCCAACGGGCTGCAGGTCGCAAGTGGGCGCAGTCAATTTACTCGTCGTCGAGTCTAAATCAATTTAAAAGAAATAATAATAATTTTTTATTTGTAAAAAATTAATTAATTTGTGAGCCATTTCAATTAAACCTTATAAGATCTATTGAACTACACGTTGAAAAAATAAATAATAATAATAAAGGGACGACCCTAAAACGCAGCAATTATATTCTCACGAGTCATGACGATAATAGTCGTCAAATATTAGTTAAAATGTGTGTTTTTTTTTTTTATTTACATTTTTAAATGTTTCTTTTTGTACAATACGAAGAAAAAACAAAAAACAATAATCTTCGATATTTGTATTTTGCCACTTTGCCACTTTTACGATTAACTCTGAAGCAAGTTTAAGAGGCCAAACGAATTGTATCCACATAAAACCAAATGAAAACGAAAAAACGTCAATAATTTTAAATAGTCAAATTTGCTATTTCATGTTTAACTTGAACAAGATTTCTGGTAGAAATTTACAAGCACAGTACAAAAATAAATGAAATAAACATCATTGTAAAACCAATACAATCCTCGCTACGCTCCGAATATAAAAAGTGAGCCTCACCCCTATAGGAAATTTTTTTTGGATTCAATGCTGATCACGTCCTCTTAATTGGTTCATGTTTTGTAACTTGTTCTATTTTAGTGATATTATTCGAACACTCCAATAATGCTTTCGACTGGTCGATTGAATACCCTTATAAAGTATACAATAAAAATGATGAAATGCGTGCGTTGTCAATGCGAATAATAATAATGATAATAATATGATGTATTATAATATCGTGAAATTCAATACGCGGACGTACAAAACAAACAGCGCATTATTATATCGAAGTGGACGCGAAAAAAATTTTTTAAAAAAAAAAAAGACCTTGTGGGCGCTGTTTTGCTGCAGCCGCGTCGGACCGGATCGAAACGCTTTCTATAATATGAACAAAGGCATCCGAAACCCGTTGTCAATTTCGGAAAATCAATTTCCGATTTAACGCTCGTTATTTATACAATAATATAGGTATAGGTAACGTAATGATATTATATTATTTTTTTTTTTTTTTTATTTGTATTATTATTACGACGGTGCCAGCGTAAACACAAAATAGGTATAGGTATGTACAATAATGTGTTGCGGGAGTTCTGTTGTGGAAATAATATTATAAGTCGAGACGTGTTGCGATGTAACAATAATACTATTGATACCTATGTAAACACAGCACACCTGAAGGATTTTCGAAATTGAAAACCCCGACCGATAACTTTCCTGTGCGAAGACGACCATACGCGAATATCGTGATATAAATTAAATGATGCAAATCGGAAACGCTTAGAAACCGGTACGTTATTATTGCATAGGTACCCGACGGTAGAAATACCCCATATTATCACATAGAGCGGTCGACCGTCTTCTATTGTCTGCAGCACATACTGTCACATGCTGTCATGGGCACCGCCATTTTGCGATTTTGATAACGCTCTAATCGTGTACATGACGGGTTTGTACCACTCATATACACGCAGTATATAATACACTGTGTAATCGCGAAATGACGCATGAAACGATGATAACAGCCATATTGTCCGTTCTCTAATTATAATATAGTCTCGGTATTGGTAACAGCGGTCGTCATGATTGGACGGATAAACATAATATTGCTGCGGGTTTACACAGAAAATCGTATCTCCTACATTGGACACCATAAACTAACACGCCGAGTTTTTAATTACAACGCGGCGCGTTAAGTCAATATCGATTCCTTTTAATTTTAACACAACATTGAGTTTGCGATCTATACACTGCACTGTTTGAACGTAACCGTCGAATATGATCACTGTAATTTTTCCTCCCAGCTTATTTTCAAACAGCCACGAACCCCGGCCGTATTTATGTATTTTTACAATGGCAATAAGCCAATAACGGTTTTACGAAATAAACCAACTCGCCTTAAGTCAATAAGCAAATCAACTTTTGAACTTACTTACAGAAATAATACAAATGAAACAATTAACGATTTTAACGCGTTAACTATTAACTCGTTAATTCTTTTTCAATTGACTGTGCGGCTTAAACGAGTTAACGGAGTGTTTATTAATTTGTCGGGCCTTGATAGATGGAAAAATGCGATTGCATAGCATACGGCATTATGGCACGTATGCGACTCAAAAGAGTTTCGCGTACAGTACTAAAAGAAATACATTTTCTTATTCCGACCCGGTTTCTGCGGTAATTAATGTAAACTTATCTTCGATATACAACGCGCCGTAGTATATTATAATAGTTAGGTTAGGTATATAGGTATATGCGTGTACATTATACACATGTTTGATAGCGTATATTGTAATAATCCTCTCTCTCAATATGAAAATTATTTTCCAATTACTCAACCGATGTATATAATATATGTATGTATAATAATATTATATTGTATAGTATTTTTGTAATCGTATATCACTTTTTCCGTTATACAATAATAATTACTATACAGGTACCTATGTATAGTAAATTAATGTTGCCATTGTTACTTATAATTACTCCATGGTAATAGGTACACACTTATTACTAATATACTAATGACTTACAAAATAAATTACAAAACGAAAATCCCATAATGTAAAACACAAACCATTAGGTATTATACGGTTCCCAACGACGGGTTATAAATTTCAAAATACAGATGTACATGTATAAGACAAAATATTTGTAGGGTAAACATGTTTTTGATGATTTTGTCCGTTTCTCGTACAATTTAATAATAATATAAAACCAATATCTGATCATAATTGATTTTAAATCATTCTTATTTTAGTCGAATAAAGAATAGTGATTTTGTAGTTATTGTGGTTATTCCGATCTATAGTAACGTTTGAAGAGTTTGAATCAATAAGAATTGTTCAAGGTACGGACCATAACTAACTGAATGGCGAAAAACGCAACATCGTTCGTTTTAGACAAAAGAACTATAGAAAGACCTAGAAAATCTATCCTCCAAAGCAAGGGCGGAGTCTGTTATCTTAAATTAGAGAAATTTCTACTGTACTGCATTTTTAATTATTTATGAAACCATTGTGTTGTGTAGTGTCGAATGTCAATTGTGTACATTATTACGAATAAAATATTTTTATTCAGTACTTTATTATAATGTAACGTGTGTAGTATGTACGATAAATAAATACAAATAAAATTGCTTTTGTTTAGGGATAGGGCACTTTCTCTCAGTGTTTCTTCTCTAAATCCGTCATTGCATCAAAGGATTTAAAGATTATGCCACACAGTAGCTTAAGAATTACAATAAATTAAAGAAAACTTGTTATATTAATGCTAACTTGACTTCATCGGCAATAACAAGGTAAGATAAAGAAAACGGGAACAGCTAAGTACTTAAGACCCAACATGGTTATGACAAGTTATAAAAATAACGCGAAATCGGCAGACCTAAAAGCGCGGAGATTTGAGTGAAAAACAACGGGGAAATGACCCAAAGGGGCTAGAGGATTCAATGAAATAATAGATGGACGGTATGAAATAAGACCCGAGGAAATTAGCTGTACATAAATATTGGCAAGAGAGAGTGCACAGTTGGAAGTCAGTGTCGGTGGCAAAAACTCCTGAAGAGCTATGATGTCAGAAACAAGAATAACTATAACGAGTTTTATCATTACCTATAATGAATACTATCGATATTTTAAAGAAATCACTCTCAGGCTCAACTTCTCGTATTATAACTTTTACCATTCAAAATTTAACAAAAAATAAATAGAAAAATTGTTACTCATTGTTACGAAATTATTTGTTTTATTATTTTTTTTTTTTTTTTATTAGATGTATTAATAAGGAACCTGAAAACAATTGGGTAAAATTAATCTTTATTTCAAACAGCCGTATTAGAAAATAAAAATAAAAACCAATGTCTTAGAATAATGACATACACATTCACACACGAGTCTTTCATATATTTCAAAACCGTCGTGTTTTCAAAAAAAAAAAATAAATAAATAAACAAACAACAACCAAAAATACCACACGCATTTGCCGTGTCCCAAGATTTTTTTATTAATTATTTTTTTTTTTTTTTTTTACTTTAGATGCACATTTCACAAAAAACACACGCGTTATTTAATTTCGAAGAAATAAAGAATAACCACGCCACCAATGACTAATATGATAATCACTCGAAAACGTAAAATCACGACTAAAGCAAATAATTAAAATCGAACAATATAATACATATTATCGATGACCGTGACCGGAAGGTAAAACGCTATTAAAAACCTATTGGAAAATTATATAGTAACGGTTCATTCTCACGTCGCCAACTCCCATTCCGCCGACTCCTATTTTGCCGACATCATTTTATTTTGTTAATACTTACTTGTGACGCACGTTGCTTGAAGTACACCTAGTCATGATTCCATCCCACTATAGATCATATTAAAACAACTCATTTTCGTCGTTATTGCAGGGATTTCACCAGTTTTCCTAAATTTTCATTTTACTAAACTTGAATTATGAAAACAATAAGAAAAATTCGTTTGAACATTTATCTAATCGTTGAAGATCTATTATGATTGTCAATAGTTTTTGTACTTTCGACAATACTAAATTTATACATTTACTTACGCCCGTGGCGCGGTTGCGGCGTTAGAATTTCTTTAGTAATAATAATTGCATTGCAACAATAACATTTCAATTCAAAATAGTAATATAACCGATTTATTTGCCGGCGAAATGGGAAGATTTTTAATACCTTATAAAACAGGTTTAATTGTCATCAAAATTGGAGTCGACGAGGCGCGGGAAGTAACATATCGTAATCGTAATAATATAGCGAAACGAGAAATATTGTGTTCACATGTTTTAAAATCGTATTGTCTAAAATATTATTGCTGGCAGACACTGGGCGACTTGGATATATTAAAATATACCGGGTGTGCGAGCAACGAACAGTGTTGTTGTTGTTTTCGTTGACACAAGTGCAGTCGTTGCGCCTGGCGAGGTGAATCGAGATGTCGTACCATTAAAATATCGTGTTATTTTGGTAATTTTTTTAAAAAAAAATTGTTTTAACAGTATAGTTTATATTGAACGTCTCCGGGGTATCGTAAAAATGCGTAATACAAAGGCAAACGAACGCTCGCACGAAAATATACATGTATAGCGTGCCGTTCGCGCCGTCCGAAATCTTTTTAATAGATTCTCTTTTACGGTCTAAGTGCGGGAGTACATCATATATTATTATATAGGTATAAGAAGCTCTCTCTCCCCCGTTTCGTAATAAATATATAATATAAACCGTGTCTCTATCGTGATTTCCACAGAGACTCTCGCTGCTGCAGTGCGGGACATTAAAAATTGCGCTAGCGAGAAGCGCGGAAACTGTATCATGTAATATTTATAATTTGACGTTTTCTTCGGTCAGTGTACTACCTGTAGTATGTATAAAGAGAGAGAGAGAGAGGAAAGCGAATCCGACGGATTTAAATCCATTAATAAATAAAGTGAATTAATGTAGATATATACCCGGGCACGAATATAGAAAACTATTTTGGGCGACGGGAGGAAGGTGGAGGGAGGGTTCTTATGCGAAAAAAAAATAAACATTTTTAACTATACAGAACCGATGTGTTTGATGTAGCATTTTTCGAATTTAAAAGGGACGTGAGTTAAATCCATAACCCTCTTTATCCATTGTATACGTGCCTTTAAGTATGTACAACTACCGTTGTAAAACGTATTATGTATTATAAGCTGTACTGCGGAGGAAAGAAAATATGCTACACTTGCTTCTTCGATAAATTTATACGTCTAATAGGCATCGTTTTCCTCACGGGCATATGTCATGGGTATATGTCTTTAAAAAAAAAAAAAAATCGAAAAATCTGTAACATTTGTTTTTAATCGACATCTATAGACGTTTTTTAAGACTTACAAAGACAATTACTGCAGGCGAAATGATCGTTAGCCAATCCTCTCCCTCCCCTCCGAGAATGAATTAAAATATCCGTTCGTTTCCCGGAGCTCGAAGGCCTATATAGGTACTGTCCGTGAACGATAAAGTACAATAATTATTAGCGGGAGAGGGGGGGAATATAAAACGAATATACAAAACTCCATAAATCAAGAAGGATTCGTGGTAGAAATTATATATTAAAAAGTAAAAAAAGACAACATACTTTACATATCTATAGCGTACGCTTAAATTTTGTCAATCGAATGTAACGCGTTACATATTTTGTATAATTGTTTTGAAAATAAAAAAAAAAAATGTACACATGGGTATTATATTCTAAAAATATGCTCCTCGTAAAATTAATAGTACGTCCGGTTTGAATATAATGAAACTAAAACTGTTATAATATAATATAGTACAAGTTTATTGTCTGTATATAGGGTTGTGAATTCAATTTAAAAAAATGATTGCCTTTCAAAAAAAGCATATAAAAGTCCCGAGAAAAAACACAAAACGTTCAACCCCGGCCTTCTAAAAAAAAGAGCACTGAAAAACAACAAACTGCAAAAATTGAATTCTTCGTATCAGTATAACTATTAATAGTTTGTTTTTTTTTCCTCTTTTCTGATAATATATTTCACATTTGGCGTAGCTATTCATAGTATTATTACTTGAAAAAAAAAAAAAAAATAGAAAGTCGGAATGTAACGTTTCAAAATCGAATTCATATTGTTATATAAATCGAACTTTGTACCGAAAATTTAACAGTTGAAATTATCATAAACTCAAGAACATATTCGTAAAAATATCGCAACCTATACAATATACAATATACAATATATATATATACGCTCTTATTATATTAAAAATTCGATAAAACACGTATTTTTTAACATATTACTATGCAAAAATATGAACGGATTTTTTTCTTGTTAAATAAAAAAATGTACGGTACATTCTTTATTTCATTAAAAATTCTGAAATGAAAAAAAGTAAAAATCTACGCTATTCAAAAACTATTTCATTGTGTATATCTTAGTGCGTCCAAAATGCGTAAGCAAAACTGAATATTTTTGCTTTATATTACTATATAATAATAATACGCGCATTCGTCACGAATAGTATGAAAAAAATAAAAAAAAAATATGATTATATTATGTATAGGATGTTATGATAAAACTGTTTCTTGGAAGCGCTGCAGTGTATTTCTATCGTGTACCTCGGAAATATTCTATTACGACTAGGGTACGTAACGGTTTTTTTTTTTTTTATTTTTATTTTTTATGAAAAATCCAATTTATTTATGCCTAATGCAACAGCATTAAAGCTACAATAATATTTATTCCATACATACTATACATTATAATTTATAATAACAAACACGTACACTCCACATTTCGCGATGGATATAATACACCACACCTATATCTATAACTGGATAAAATACAATAAGGTATAATAAGGATTGGATAATTTATATGAAACGGGGTCCGATGAAAAAATGTGCCGGGATAAAATTCAGCTGATTATACCAATCGTAAAGGGTTCAGCGGCCGAAATAATACCATCCAATGGCCGTGGATCGGCGGATTTATTGACTTGCTAAGTTATTGAACGGTGAAAATTAAGAGAAAAAGCACGATGCCGTACCGCAAACGATGTGGGTTTTGTGAGTCGATTTACGATACTTTATTTGCAAAATATTTCGAAATTCCCAACGCTTTTTTCGAAAAAATTGCATTTTATGGTTTTTTTTTTTTTTTTTACATATTTTCGGTTAGTAAAAATTATGCTCCGGTTAGGTTAGGTTAGATTAGGTTTCACCTTAAAACGCGAATTTCCGGCCTAGGAGTAGTATTTTATTTGAAACGATTTATTGGTTAAAAAGTGAGATATTAACAGTTCATCCCCTGTTAGGTCCATTTTTTCGATTATGTTATTTTTGTTGATTTCCGAGTTACTCCGGCAATAAGGGAAAAACACGACTATTCTAGTACTCCACTCAGAATAGTTTTTCTATTGCAACCGTCGCGGACAGTATATGTCCACTAAATTACCCCACACGTATATCGTTTAGTTGTAAAATTATTATTTCCCCGATACTTATAATCTAACAATAAACAATGGACGAAATGAAATCAAGCAAAAAATATGGCAACGAATAACACATAGGGGTTTTGTTTTTTTGTTTTAAATATTCTATTCCTCCCCTCGAAAATCTCTGCCACAGATATACTCTCCCGCGGGACGCAGCGAGTCTGAAATAAAACCGAAAAATATGCTACTGCAGATGTTTATACGGCGGGTCTCCTGCGATACCCTCGACAATAATAATAATATGTCAACCGATGAACCGACTGATGTCTTTAAATCGTCGTGGCAGTCACCACGTGTCGAACACAATGATAATATAATATAATGTTGTACACATAGTAACAAATAGATTATGAAAAAGTGGTGTTATATTATTGTACGGTATTGGGCCGAAGGAGTGGTGGCATAAAGGTAGGTAGTCGAAAACGTGATTTTTCATAATGTATATACGTTATGTCGACCCGATAAATCGATCGAATTCGTTTCACACACAGTAGTCTTCGGACTACCGAAAGGATATTGTTATAACGTACGATTTCGTCCGTAATGACCGAAAATCTTCCCGTTTCGGGGGCCACCTATATCGAACACTGTTCTTATTGTGCGGTGCGTGTACGCGACGAGAATCCCGGAAAAAAAGGAAAGAAAAAAAAAAGGTTATTGATGATGATGTTTTATATTTATTTACGGGCGTAGGAGTAGGAGGGGAGTAGGACGGGGTCCTCGTATACTTATCGAGCGGAGATTTCGGGTCGTACAGGTTGTCAACGCGCGAGTCGTTAAGAGCGTTAAGACGCCGTGTCCGCCGCGTCCGTTCACGGTGCAAATCAATTTTTACGGTCAAGCCAAAATACGTCGTTTATTATATTTCTTGAACAAACAATGCGGGCCGCCGTCGCCGTCTTTCCGGAAGAATATTATATATATATACGTGTAGTAATACAAAGCTGGAAGGAAAAAAAATATACTGAATACGTTTTAAGAAGCGAAAAAAAAAAAAATAAACCACCACGCACTAGCCCGCCGTATTATATTATCTTTTGTGCGCGTAATATTCGTAGGTATCGCCGAATGCATTTTTCAAGACCGTAATGACCGGGTGACACAAAAGAGAAACGGCGGTGGTCCGGACGACGGCGACGTTAATGAAGAAAACGCGATAATAGATGGATTTTTATTTTACGCAAAAATCGATTCCCGGCAGAAACGTAACAACGCCAAACCCGCCACGGTAGCCCGTCTTTGTCGTGCCCGCACGACGTAATGTCCGTGCGGTGCGTGTGTTTTTTCGGTTTTTGCGAAACGCGACTATTAGTGCGCAATACCCCCCGCACATACCGCCGTTGCGTAGGAAACGAAACAAATAATTTATCATCATAATACATGTTAACGATTACGTTCCGCCGAAACGTCCCCGAGACTATTATACCGTAGTATACAGAAATCCGCATTTGCCCGAAACCGCAGGATTTTTCGAGAAAGAAAAAAAAAACCATTTATTTCGTGCGTGTAGAATAACATTCGTTTTCTGTTATCGTCCCATAAT